CCCCCCCCCCCCCGGGGTCGAACTTCAAAGCTCGGCTACTCCACGGCGAAGAGGATGCCAAAATCCAATGGTGGCGTGTATCACGTTTTCGGAAAGCCCTCGACGAGAGAGTTCCAACGCCACCGATATTTCGGCATCGCTGCTGCAGAGTAGTCAGAGCTTTGGAAGTTGATCCAGGGTGCGTGTGGTTATTTCTGTGACCTACGGTATTCGCGGGTAACCAGTTGACGTCTCCTGTCGCGAGTGCGCTTTTAGATATCTTCCTGCCTGAGAAGATGCGTTTTCGCGTAAAACCGTACCCAAAGTGTGGCTGTAGATCGTGGCGCTGGAGAAACATCCGTGCCTCTGTTTTATGGTGATGGGTAGACTACCGGTTGGTGGTAATGGGCGGCCGAACTTGCGGGACCTGACGCATCGTTCTCGAGGTATCTGACTGTCGGCCCTATCGGTGGTGATTTTGCGATTTCAGCGAAGGTCCATATCCGCACCAACACGCACCCTTCACCGTTCCGACAAGAAACTCGGTGGTCTCATGAACCAGAGCTTGCGCGGATGTTTCCCGCAATGTTCTCTCGTCACCCCTACGGAACGGGTTTCTGGGCTCGGTGGGATTTACGATCGCTGTAGGTCTTGTGTACGGAGACTTGGCAAGAGCTTCGAAACCCACCGCAAAGGAACGTCGATGAAAATCACGTCTCCAAACCACCGCGACGTGTCTTCTTCCTTCTGCCTGAACGCTCTGCGTATTCGGGTGGCCTTTGGTACTACTTGCTAGCAGACGGTGATCCCGAACACCTACCACAGAGTGCTACACTTTTCAGTGAATTTTTTTGCACAACCATCCAGGCTCACACCGGGGCTTCTTCTTTTTATTTTTATTTTCGTGGCCCACCTTCCTCTTGGGGTGCGTGCTGACTTTTTTTTTTTCGCGAGAAGGGTCCAGGCGTCCCTTCCCCTCTTCAACAGTGCTAATGTCGAAGGTTGGTACTCACGAGCTTTTACGCTTTTACGCTTTCACCCGCAAATTTGTAAATTGCAGCGGTTTCGAGGTTACCACTAGACCACCGGGGCGACCGGTTTATTCGTCACTTTGAACCAGCGCCCTACACTACCTGCGGGGCGAAGAGCCCGGGCTCTTTTGTATTTTTTTGGCAGTTGTTTGGGTTTCCCGCGTGTATCTCGGGTGCCTGTCGGAGGGGGGTTGGGGGAGTGATGAGCCACAAGAATCAGATACTTCGGACACCGTGCGCAAGCGGGGGTGTCTGCGTGCCGGAGCCGGCGCACGCCACTCTCCCGACCGGTGATGTCGATAGGACGCCGCGGCAAGAATTGAAGCTCTGACCCTCTGTTGCGGTGGTGGTTGTGGGCACACAGCTGTAGTACCTCCCTGCCGCTGAAAAGACCGTCGTGCTCCGGCTCATAGATGGGCGGGGGCTGGCTAGCGGGGACGCAGGTGTAAACGACTCGTCACTCTGCTGTCGGAGTCCGTGTCTGGCGTTTATTTGTGCCATCGGTCACCCTTATGTCCGGCTCTGCTTGACAAGCGCCACTTGAAAGCGTTACTGCATACCCCATCCCCCCCCCCCCCCCCCCCCCCCCCCCCCCCCCCCCCCCCCCCCCCCCCCCCCCCCCCCCCCCCCCCCCCCCCCCCCCCCCCCCCCCCCCC